TCAAAATTCTTTTCCCCGGGAATTAGCATTTAAATTATATTTTTTTTCTTTTTCTTTCTTCTTTTTTTTTCTTTTTCTTTCTTCTAAATATTAGGTTGTATAAAATAATTTTTGTGTGTCTATTTCTACTAATCCCTCTTTCTCTCTATGTTGCTTTTGTCTATTCATAGTGTCCAGTGGAGAAATTGTACTCACCCAGTCTCCAGCAATCATGGCTGCATCTCCAGGGGAGAAGGTCACCATGACCTGCACTGCCAGCTCAAGTATAAGTTCCAGTTACTTGCACTGGTACCAGCAGAAGTCAGGCACCTCCCCCAAACTCTGGATTTATAGCACATCCAACCTGGCTTCTGGAGTTCCAAATCGCTTCAGTGGCAGTGGGTCTGGGACCTCTTACTCTCTCACAATCAGCAAGATGGAGGCTGAAGATGTTGCCACTTATTACTGCCAGCAGTGGAGTAGTTCCCCACCCACACAGTGATACAGACTGGAACAAAAACCCTCTAACTTCTTAGGGTCCAGCTACTTCCTCCTAGAGATAAAATATGGCCAGAGGTTTGGTTGCAGTAGTCCACACATGGTGTTCTGCTTTAAAATGTCATTTGCATCTTTGGATAACTGTCTTTATAATGTTCCACTATACTTCAGTGCTGTTTTCAAGTATATATTTTGCCAGAGTTTATTTATTCACAATTTTTGTTCTGTTTGTTGTAGGCAAGTGTGGCAGGCACTTTTCCTCAGCTCTTTTGCTGATGGTTCCCACGAACTTTCACATCTCTTTTCTGCTAGTTTCACTCATTTTAGGCTCTTTATGGTAGGTGGTTTTTCTTCAGGATAGTTATTTACTCACAATACAGTGCTTTTATTATCCTACAAAAAGTAATATCCATCCTAATCTGTCTTCTGATTTTTATTAGTAGACCTTCCTTTCCTCCAAATTTTCCCATTAACATGTGTTAGAAAGGATTTCCTCCTCAAAAAACAGATTTTGGAGACATATATATTTTCTTTTTATTCTCACTACAACTAATTAAAACACTTCACTAACAACAAAAACAATAAGTCATCAGAGAACTAATGAATGAACATTATTTTTCTATCTATCTATCTATCTATCTATCTATCTATCTATCTATCTATCGATCTATGAATCCATTGGTGTGTGTTTACCTTACTGTGAATAATTAAATTCATAAGGAAATTTTATTATTCTTAATTTTCAAACAGAAATTATTAAAAACATTTAAATGTACAATTGCATTTAAATGTAAATTCCATTTTAATTAAATTTAAATTACATTTACTAATAACAGGAATAATTATGTAACAGTTGATTCTATTTTTCCAATATATGGTGCTTGGTATGAAGATGACACAGTAACCAGGCTCCCTGTCTGCATGTCTAGGAGAAAGTGTCAGGATCACAGGAAGTCAAAATATCAATGGATATAAGCATTTTATTAACACATTATAATTTGTCTAAAAGCTTCTTTCAGAATCAGTCCTTTGACCTTTAGTCCTAGTAAAGAAAAAGGTGTATAAAGAGGATCATGGGCTTAACAGCAGTCCTAACTTGACAGAAGGACACTGCTTCAAGTGAAATCTCTACACATCTAAACCAAAAAAGACACACTTATGTGTTGGTAAACACTACATGAAATTTAGTGCAAGGTGCATATTTTTGGTTAGTGCTATACCAACTGTTGTTTGAATAAAAATGAACCCCATAGGCTCATGTATTTAAATGCTTAGGAAGCGACCCTATTTTACAGGATTTGGAGGAAATGCCTTGTTGGAGACTGTGTTTCAATGGGGTTGGGCTTTGAGATTTTAAAAGCCTTATCCAGGCCTAGTAATTTTATTTTCCTGCCTCTTGGTGATCCAGATGTCAAACTCTCAACTCTCATGTCTGCCTTTGTGCAGCCGTGCCCCCCGACATGTGGATAATTATCTAAGCTCTAATCAAGTCTCTAATAAATGGTTTCCTTTGTGAGGGTTTTTGTGGTTATGGTATCTCACAACAGCAATATAATATAACCAAAAAAAACTAAAGATTTATAGTGGAAACTTGAGAAATTTTGAGTCCTGAGGCAACAGTGAAACAGCAAGTCAGTTCTCCATTTCCTGACTCTATATCATGTCATCCAGAAGAATCTTTGCCAGGATCTATTTTTGTATTCTATTATTTTCTATTGACATGCTTAATGATCAACATTCCCATGAGATATAAAACCAGAAAACGAGGATTGAATGTTTTCTGAAATTTGTAGGAAGACATGGTCAGGGAAAACTCCTAGAAAAGTACCCACAGAGGTACAGAATGCACCTTACAGCACAAGTATCCCACCTTGAACTTCTGGGTAAATGAGGGGGAAAGGGTTTGACCAGCCCTCATTGCTGGTTTGAGGTAAGACTTCTTCTAGGGAATCACTGGATAATCAACCAACCCTCACATGAATATCTCTATGTAACATGACCAAGCCAGGGCACCATCATCACTGCACACATTAAAATTGGACAGGACAATCCAACAGAACACAAGAGTCTGAGACACATTTGTTTACATTCATTAGGAATCCCTTAAATACATGAAAGTGGAAACTTTAATATATACGCAGAGGATGTGTTAGAGAACTCTGAATTCTCTGTGAATGTTCCTTCATTTTCTGTGAGCTCATGTGAACTTTGTTTATGTCAATTAAGAGGGCCTTTTTTTCCCTGGTATTTTTGAACTTTTCTGCCTCTTACATATTTCTGTCTCCTTTTTACTGGGGAGCTTGGAGCCCTAAGACAAGATATTTGAATCAGACTTCCCACTTAGGACAGAGTGTTTATAGACTCAGTTGTGCTAAGATCTGGGGGCCTACTACGCCTGAGACCCTGTTACATATATCAAGAAAAGAAGCTTTACTCCATGTTTACTTATTAAAAAATTGTTTTATATTAATTAAATTCTTATGTGTTTGGTTTTGATGTGATCTAATGATAATCCAAGGTTACCAGTAATCAACGTCAAGTTTTCATTACCACTAACTCATGAAGAAGTATATTTTTTAGGAATTCTTTTAATTCAATCATTTCATGAAATCTATTCAATTAATGTTTGTGTGAATGAAGGTTGGGAAGTAATAAAGTAGTAGCAGACTGATTGCTTTTGTACTTAGTAGAACCAAGATGTGTGTCAGTACCATGAGCCTAGTAATTAAGGCCCAGAGATCCATGTGAAATTTTGGTTTCTACTCTCACAAATACAAAATGGAATTCAGTTCTGGGTCATTTCTTCTGTCCCAATTTTTTAACTGTCTCATGACCTTTTTACCTTAACTATCTATGCCATGCTAACAAATGTGCCTGAATCTTTCCTAGCTTTTACTTCGTTGATCTATGACACTTACCCAAATTGAAAAGAAATATCAATCATTTGGTTCTTTGAAGAAATCATTTGTTTTTATCAAATGAGAATTTTTGTAAAACTCAACTAATGTCCAAAGAGAGTCACTATTTGCCAATTGTTATTTCCAGTGGATTTTCTTGGGTGAGATTGCTGCCCCCAACTAATTCTTATATCCTCAAGTTTGAGTGTAATTAACATCATCTGCTCACTATGGTAGCTTAAACAACGCTACAGCTGGATTGGCCCTGTATAGCCAACAAGTGCTTAGAAAAAAGAAGCAGGTGTTACTGGTTATTCTACAGAATCTACAAAGTTTTTTTTCCAGAAATCCTCTGAGTCATGTATCTCTGCATCTTCTGCAGACCATCTATCTGTATGACTGTCCCTTTCCACAGACTTACTGACATGGTAAAGGGGCCAATTTCAGAGAAGTGATTATAGCCCTCACAGAGGCTTAGATGGGAAGCATAGACACTTATGTTTATAAACCACAACCAAAAACATAAAAACATATGCAAAACAATAATGTAATAGCTATAAATACTAGTATAAGGACAAAAATGGAAACACTTAGAAGTCTAAAATCAAAGAGGAAAATCATAGAATGAGAAGAGTTAAAAGAATACTGAAATGGGAAATGAGAAAGAAAACAGACAAAGAGGATTCTATTGCAGATAATGTAAATCCAAACTAGGAAAGAGACAAAAGAAAATAAAGAACTGTATTGACAGATAAAAGGATTTATTAAATATTAAGAGTTGATGTGTTCATTTTTCCTATAGTAAGAGCAATGAAGATGGTGAGTGGAGAAGACTGAGAACTTAGACTCAACTTGTACATTAGAATGAAAGCTTATTTTTAAAATTTTCTTTATTTCTGAATTTCAATCACCTACACAACAAACTAGTTTTGTATTTACCACCTTTCTTTCCTCTCATTCTTTTTATATAACCAACCAATTTCCAAAATTTCCTCACATCTCTCTTTATAACCTATTTATTCTAGTTAGTGTTGTCCACATGTGCATCGATATGGAGCCTTCTTCTGAAGCATAGTAATCCTACGAGTTGCTATATTCTATAATACTAATGGCTCTACTTCTCCAGCAGTCAATATAGCACTAAATGCTCACTATAGGTTGAATCTTGGATATGAAATTGCCATCTAGATGAGGCCATAATCTTTGCCATAATCTTGCAGATAATCACTACTTCATGAGTCCATGACTGTAATAGTCACATTGTCTCTGGAAGACACATTTCACAGTCCTCCTCCTATTTTCTGGGTTTTACATTTGATCTGCACATACTCCATGACAATTTCTGAGATTTGAGATAGATATATAAGTCAGATGTCCTATATCAACCTAAGCATTCAGTTGTGGTTCTGTCATCATTCTGACTAGTCATGTATTAATCCATTGATTTTTTTTGGAAATTATAAAAGGTTTATTTATTTTGTCTAACTTGCATTTTTTAAAATTTTTTATTGAATATTTTATTCACATTTCATATGTTATCCACTTACCCATCCCCCCCTGCCCAGGAACCACCCATCTCCTCACCCCTCCCCCTGCTTCTCTGCGGATGTGTCCCCACCTACACCCACACTCCCACCTCCCCACCCTCAAATTCCCACCCCATGGGGGGGGTCCAGCCTTCATGAGACCAACGTTCTCTTCTCCAACCTATGTCTGAAAGGACCCTCCACCCGTATATATACAGCTGGAGCCATGGATCCCTCCCTAAGTGCTCCCAGCCTGGTAGTTTAGACCCTGGGAGCTCTAGTTTGTTGGTATTTCAGTTCTCCTTGTGGGTCCGCAAACCCTTTCAGCTCCTACAGTCTTCACTCTGACTCCTCCATTGGGAAACTCATGATTAGTTCAATGGTTAGCTGTGAGCATCTGCCTCTGAATATGTCAGACTCTAGCAGACCTCTAAGGAGACATCTATATCAGGCTTTTGTTAGCATGCATTTACCGACTTCCACTTCAGCATCTATCTTTGGTGACTGCACATGAGATGGATACTCAGGTGGAATGGTCTCCAAACGGACCCTTCTTCAATTTTTGTTCCTCACTTTGTCTCCATATTTGTTCCTTTGAGTACTTTGTTACTTCTTCTAAGAAGGACCTAAGCACCTCTACTTGGTCTTCTTTCTTCATGAGCTTCATGTGGCCTGTGAGTCGAATCTTGGGTATTTCAAGGTTCTGCGCTAATATCCAATAAACAGTAAGTGAATACAATGAGTGTTCTTTTGTGATTGACTTACCTCACTCAGAATGATATTTTATAGTTCCATCCATTTACCTAAGATTTTCTCGAATTCATTGTTTTTAATAGCTGAGTAATACTCCATTGTGTAAATGTACCACATTTTTTGTATCCATTCATCAGTTGAAGAACATCTGGATTCTTTCC